AATAAATTAATTTTAATTTATATTTATATAATTTACTTTAAAATTTACCACATCATAACACTTTTATAATTAAAAAATATCATATCACTTACTTTATTTCCACGTAATACTCAAGATTAATAAAAATTGAATTTCTTAATGGAGAATTTTGCCACATCAACACTTAATTGACTGAATGACGAAATTGGTTCCAAAAATTTAAATTCAAGGATTTGTTTAATACTTTGTGAAGTTTGGGGGTAAATTTGGTTCAAAAATGAAAGTTCAGGGACTGAACCGGGGATTTAACCTTGAAATTCTTCAGATGGGGAGGGAAGAACACAGTACTGTTTCAGACCTTCCGAAAATTCTAAACCCATTTCTGGGTCTCCCCTGACTTGTCATGCTAAAGAAAAGCACTCATTTTTAATTTCGTTGAATGCACACATGGAAGCCGCCTTAACATCGTCCAGAGAGCTTTAATTGAAATATGCACAAGTTGGTCCGGGACAGCATTGTCCTAATAAAAAATTTTCTTCGACTTCGTAAAATTTTCAGGCCAAATTACCAATTGAAGTGGATGTAAATTCGTGTGTTTGTGGGAATCACTCTCCTTTCTTACTGGATTTTTTTTAACAGAATCTGACATTCTTGCCTCTAGGATTCGTCCACTTTAATCCTTTCGAGAAAAATAGTGGAATTTGTTATTCTGTAATTCTATGTGTTTAAGACTCCTAAGCTGTTCACCGACAGTGGGTTTGTCCTTTTCTTTGGTAATCAAACAGGGAGACGGGCATTGGACTTTCTAAGGCCACCAAGTTTTGAGGCTTGATTCGTTATATCTAGGTTCTAGTGAAAGAAGAAACATTATACAGAAAGTTTAAAAGTATAATATCTAAAATTAAAAGGTTTTATAATGAAATTTTTTTCAAATATTATTGAAAATATTATAATTATAATATGATAAGATATTGTAAGTTTATAATATATTATTATTATATAAAAAATTATAATAAAAATATTATCCCTATATCATGTCTCTACAATTATTACCATATTGTGAATTAATAGATTAATTTCCATCGTATCTTCATCCTCTCTCGCATTGTAACTTATTTTCACATAATTCCATTCAAAGTTGCACTTTACTTCCATCCTTAAATTTATTTAGTTGCTTTTCATACTCCCATTAAGTTACTATTCATTACTCCACTCACTCCTACTCAATGACCAATATAAACCCGATATTTTTCTTGGACTATATATGATTTTATAAGTTTGTATAATTTATACATAATGAAGTAGAGCAAGGTTCACTGCAAAGCTTTGTTATTTTGTTATATTTTCTCTTTATTTTATAATATACTAAGTATTATCTATTCCAGGTTGGATTATTTTTTGCATTCTTTTTTTTTTTTTTTTTTT